AAGTTAAAGAATGGCTGAATTGTTAGCAATTTTTGAAGGAGGAGCCAAGTGGTAGACACGTAATGTGTCAATCAATCAAATTTGATGTTTGGAATATTGATTGATAGTTGATCAGTATCAGTTGTGCATTTTTGTCTGGTAAAAAGCAACTTGAATAAAAAAAATATATGCACTCGTAGTATTATGGGACTTGAATTTTTTGTCTTTCTTCTGGATCGGTGTCACACCAGTTGGGTGCTCTTACTCAGCCATAAAACCACCGCACATTGCTATGGCTGTGGGCAATACAGCCTAGCAGCACTCACCAAGGCCGATAATCCTCGGAAGAAAAGAAGCATCAATACCATTTACTGCTGTCAGCTCTGATAGACAAGCTTGTCAGTTTTATCTGTTGCTACATGTCATTGCTAAAAAGATTTGCATAGTTAAGCATTAGGCATGATTCATGCCTCGACTCAGCGAGTTTGTATAGTTCTCTAGTTTTCTTTTCTTCTTCATATATAAACTTTGATCATGAACGCATGTTTTCATTACAAATAAGAATAATACATTCCAGAATGAAACAGATTCTGTGGCCCAACTCTTGTTCCTCTCAAAGTTATCTAATTGAAAGCTATATAAAAGCTCTTGTTCCTTTTACCTCAAAACAAATCCTAATTGGTATAGCACGATTTTAAATGCCTAAACTTGTATGATTTTTATAATTGAATGTTTGATTTTTAATTTTATTTAAATAGATTTTTAATTTTTAATTTTTTTTTTTGCATAATAAAGTGTCTTTACAAATGTATAGTGGTCAAATTTATTATTTTTTTGATAACTCGGGGTGTTGGAGTTAGCTCACGCGTACCACAACTAATCCCCGGATCTATTGAACATCCTGCAAGTCCAATAAACATGTAAAATATCATGGGGTGACATGCGTACACAATAAGACTTGAACTATGGTGCAGAAAAAGAGAACAAATTCCTCCCACGGCTGGGTTACAACCTCCTGCAATGGTGGTCAAATTTTAATATGCTTGTGAGATAATAACTTGAACACAACACTTGAGATAATATTTAGATACATCATTGATGAGATAACATGTTAATAAGGAAATATGAGGGAAATTTTCCACCAAAACCTACTGAATATAATTATTAAACATACCTTGCCTTATAAAATAATAATATTTAGTATATTATTTTTACAATTCATGCCTGTTCTATCTGAGGACCATTAGCTAGCTTGCGGTTAAACATATCTTATCTTATGTTCATGTTACATATTGTTTTGATTGCCTCTTATAATCTTCTATTACACAACTTTAAAAAAATAATTACATGTTCAGTTTATTATTATTAATAATCTGAAAGTGAATGTTCTTACCAAACCATTATATATTCTCTGCTAATTTTACATATTTTTTATTCAAATTAGTTGTGTGCTCCTGCCCATAATCAACTTGCAGGAGAATATTAGATTCCAATGCTGACGAGAAGGCACAGAAAACTACATAACCATAGTGTCAGCCCTCCATACATGTTTTTTTTTTTTTTTTCTGTTCTAGTTTGTACCAAACACATAAAATGGTGCTTGGGTCGAGCAATTAGAGATTGTGTTAAGAAATGAGATCAATTCCCGCAACCAGGTCACATAATTTTTATGTGGTTTGGAAATTCCCTGCATCAATAGAGCTGCTTATTTTACTCACCGAAGATAAAAAGAAAGTTACAACAATGGAGGAGGAGATAGACCTCTCCAATGAATTCTCAAATTCTATGTATTTGTGTCACTTATCTCTTGCTCTTTTGCTGTGTATTTCTTTCTTCTTTCACAAGTTGTATTTCTAGTTGAAACGGCAGAACAAACATCTCCATTTCATCCATGATTTCTGCTAAAAATTGACAGACAAACCATTACAGTTTTTCCTTTTTTTGTAGCGTAATTTACATCACTAAAATCCCCCCTCCTTTCCAGACTAATTTGCAGCCTTCTTTGGTTTTACTATGGGTTATTTGTCTCAATTCATATAAATCTCCTACCTGGAGATATACGACATCAGAATTATCTTTCGTCTTTAAAGACCTATCGAATATTTACAAAACTTTAATTTATTAAGTGTAACACCACTCAATTAACATGATTATTGGATTCTTGGTCTCCAATATATTCTCTAGCTATAATTGTTTATCATTAAGCAGATGTCAAATAAAGTGATATCTTATTTGAATATGCTTAGTTTTAAAATGAAACTATAGATTTTTAGCAGAAAACATTGCTCTATAATAATCACTATAGAGAGTATCTTCTCGTTTTCTTATCTAGTTTTTTTAAGAAACTTTATAACCATAGCATTTTATTTACAAATTTTAATACTGCAACACATTTCTATTATTGAAATAACAAAATTCTTCTAACAATTAAAACTCCAGCAAGAATTAATACCACCTAGAATGTATACAAACCTTGTAGTACTATTTTTATTGTCAACATCACTTACTCGATTAATATCTTTAAACTAGTAGTTGTGAAACGAATACAAATATTGAAGAATTCTTTTAAGTACCTCATAGTTCGTTCCACTACCTTCCAATATGTTTTTGCTAGGTTACTCATTTCTCACCTCAAAACTCGAACTACATAAGTGATATTTGGTTTAGTACAAACTATAACTTATATTATAGAACTAATAGTTGGGACATGGGAACCTTAGCCATGTTGTCATGGTTTTGCTTAATTTTTAGTGGTTGATTTTTATTGAGATGACTTCCTAAAAGTGTACTCGTGAATTTAGTATTATCTATATTAAATTTACTAAAAACTTTTTTTAATATATTTTATTTGTGAAAACTTTAGCATGTTATTATCTCTTTATGAAATAATTATCATGTTAATGAATTTTTTTTTAAAGAAAGTTACAACAATGGAGAAGGAGAAAAACATCTTTAATCATCTCTTAAATTCTATGTATTTATATTCTCAAGTCATGTGAGTAGGATTGTCCCATTAAATAAAATTATGAGGTTTAATTCTTAATCAATTAATTCAATATCAAATGATAAAATTTAAGAATGAAAAAAACAAAGTTTTAAAAGAACCTAAATAAAAAAATAACAATTAAAAAAATAAAGATTAAATTTAATATAAGAACAAAATGATAGAAAACCTTTCAATTTCAACTAAACGAGCATAAATCCCAAGAAAATAAGAGATAAAATAGATAGAAGGAGAAAAAAAAATAGTGTTGAAATCTCGTTAATACGAGTCACCTCTCCTGAATAACCTCATTGTGATGCTTCCAATAACACCAAATAAATCTATGTTCGACTACCTAAAAAAATTATAAATGTTGCTAAAACATGATAAGCTTCCTCCACATGCTAGCATGTTTTGTTCATTAACTTCATCCTATCATATTATTTTTTAATTTTAATTTTGATCTCTTGATCTTTAATTATTTTATTTCAACATAATTGTATTTTATTTTGTTAAACTGAATACCAGAATTTTCTCTTAATGTTATGAAATCCTCATATTTAGACAACCAAAATAAACTATTATGTCAAACCCCAAATAAAAGGCAATATGAAAGGATCAAATTAAAAAAAAAAAAGTTTTGTGGCTGAAAAATCAAAAAGGACATGAACTTTGCCCCTAACCATGCAAATTACTCTTTGATGTTAGAAAAAAAAAAAAAAGGATTATATATTTATGTAAGCTTTAAATTTCAGACCTTGAAATTCTAATTATTTTAAATTAATAAAATTAAATTTTATTTTGCAAAACCAAACATTAACTAATTGCAACAAAATATTTCTTCGACAGTGCAAGATCCTGTGTACAAGTATAAAAAATAAATTATTAAGATTAATTTTAAATCAAGGTATAAAAAATAAATTATTAAGATTAATTTCAAATCAACACGTGATATAAAATAATCAAATTAAAAAAATAATAAAATTGAAATCCATAATGATTCCTCTCACACACCACATTCTTCTTTCATAAACTCAATCTCTGAACCACATTTACCTTTGGGAAACACTGGAAATTCAATGAGATTTCTCCCAGTAGTATCTACGCACAAGTAAATTTGATTAAGTTGATTATTCCCTGATGTATCAGTGTTGCACTCTATCCATGGAGTAAATCTTATTGCCTCTGGTTTAGCACTCTTAATATTGCTCAAGCTGTACGATCCTCTATCTGGGTTTACTTCTGTAACATTTTTATCCTTCAACCATTAGCTACCGCAGTAGTAAAGAGGAAAGAAATAGTTAAGGTACAAATATAAAAGGGGTGAATGTGAAAATGAAAATTTACCTGTGCTTGTTAGAGCCTGAAGGAGCTTAACCTGCGCTTAGAAGTATCCATGCTGGTCAAGAACAGGCTCGGAGCTTGTCCCCTGTTTTTTTCCTTTCTTGTGTCCAAAAACTTACTCCACCACCAACAAAATAGGAATTGTGTTTGATAGAATTTCAATTATGAAAGTTTTAGTTTTTTTAAATTTATGGTAAACATATAATATTTAATATAAGGGTTTTTTAGTCATTAATTGAAATATAATGATAATTATATAAATAATCTCATGTTTTTTTCCTTATAAAGTATTATGAACTTGCAAAATTTAGGATGTAATTTTTAAAAGAATAGAGTTGAAGTGAAAAAATTGACCTAACAACATGGATGGTAAGGGTATTCCTTTTTGTTATTAAAAAAATGTGTATTTAGTTAAAATAATTTGAGATATATTCTTTTATATAAAATAAAATTTCATAAATAAAAAATGAATTATTTTAGCCTTTACAAATTTAAAGTTTAAAACACATTTGATAGATATGGTGTGAAAGGCAAGAAGTATTTATTTAACCAAACATTTTTTTCTACTTAGTTGGGCAACCAAACACTCTTCTTTGTGGGGAGGAGTCATGTTATATAAATTACTCCAGTTGAAAGCCTGCGGGCCAATGCAGCAAACTTTAAAAAATCAAAAACAAGTTTTCTGAAATAAAAGGAGCCATGACAAACATAATCATCTTATTGAAGTGATGATAAATATCTCTTGCGGATATTTGCAAACGAGGTTTTACATGGCCATCCTGTGCGATGAGACTGCCAGATGACTTGCAAAGTACCTCTTATATTAATTACAAGCCTCTGATACTAAAATTTTCAATTAAGGAGTGTACTAGCAGTAATTAAATTGTTTTAGCTGCGGTGGGAGGGAGTAGGTGCAGGTAGCTCTTAAGAGATGAGGTCGAATCCCTGTTCAAGGAGATCACCAGCCAAGACCTGGTTAGCAGCTTCAGAGGGATGGAATCCATCCCAGAACACATACTCTGTGGCATTGGAGCATGTTCCTACAGACCGATTATTGCAGAGCAGTGAGGTCTCTAATGTACCTGTACCACAGCAAGCCCTTCTCGACTCAAAGAAACCTGTCACGTTAACATGATTAAGTACCCAGATGAAAATTGATAATCAGTTGTTCGGATTTTGTGCTTTTGTTTTTCAGAGAGTAAGCATTTACTTACCATTTTCACTTGGCTTCCTGATCATATCCAAGAGAGGCTTGTAAATATCAAAGACCACAAGTTTGAGGCCAGGAAGTTTTTGCACCAGGCCTTGGGAGGTGCTGTTTAGTTTGTCGTTGAACAAAATAGCGTCTTGGTTTAGCCTCTCGACACACTGGTTGCTTCCTGCTCCAAAGAGGGTGATAGCTGCGGGCAAACACCCTGTTGGGGGTAGGGATGTCACTCCAATCCTTCTTGCTCCAAGTCCATAGAGACTCTGTCTCAACACCTCCTTGTTAGAAAACAATTCTGTGCTATGAAGAAGCTAAAGAAGAGGATTGTTTCTCGTTTATCTAGCCATGGAATTAATGTATTAGTATGTGTAGATTTGTGCTAGCTACTAATGTTTCTATTTTACTTTCTGTGTTTTCCCTTAGATATAGACAGGTTTATTTTGTGCAGAGATTTATTGATGGACTAGATAAATTTAAGTAATGTAGACGTAAGATTCTGGCCAAAATCTATCTGCTTTCTTCTCTCTGTTTTTTTCTTTTTCTTTTTCTTTTTTTTACCTTTCTCAAACACCTGTTCGGAAACAAAGAATCTGTTCTGTGGTGGGATTGATACCTGAATAAAACTAGAGTAGGAACTCATGAGAAGGTCTGAGAACCGATCAACTGAGTATAGTCCTCTAAGGACTGGGTTGATGTAATAATTCTGAATAAAATCACTGCTCCCTGCACTCAAGAGATGGATAGCACCGGAGAATATGTCATTGGCCCTGGCTTGTCCAGCCATGTTCACAACTTTCATTTGGTAATCCCTGTAGTAGCTCAACTGCCTGGTCAAAGAAATGGCACTCTACAAACCATAAGAAAGACAAGGCCATGTAAGCACATAACATTTATATATATATATATGGATAGAGAGGGAGGGAGGGAGGGAGAGGAAAAGGCATTGTTCTTACATATGACTGGGCTGTCCCGTCATAAAGGCCAGAAGCAGCTGAGGCAAAGTTGGCTCCAGTTAGGATGTTTCTTCCGCTGGCATCTGGGCTAAGGTAAGCTGGTGGGTATGTGGTGAAGCCTAGGTATTCAGCTGAACATATTGCATGAAAGAATCAGACAAAGCATGGCAAGCTTATGAGATGGACCAATGAGGAGAAAAACAAGAGCGGATTCTTGACAACTACAGTTACCTGTGAAGTCTGTTGCTAGCTTCCCATTACAGAATCTTCCAGTTGGTCTGTGAGTAACATAATCTCTTCCATAAGGAAGGAAGTTTGCCTTGATGAGTGTAGTGAGGTTATTGTTGTTACCCACGTCAACAACTGAGTCTCCAAAGATGATTAGTGCTGGAACAAGAGGATCCCCCCGAGCTACAGAGGCAACTAAAACAAGAAGAAAGAAAGTAGCCGAAAACCTACATGCATTCCCCATTTCGTTTCGTTAGTTCCCGCAGCTGAACTCTCTGCCCAGTACGTGTTTGTGTGTGCGTGCAAATGAGAGAGAGAGAAAGAGATTGGAGTGAATGGGGAAGAGAGGAGGGGGGTGGTACAGAATTTAAGATGGGAAATCCAGTGAATTATGGTCAAAGCATTATAACCGTCTTAAAGAGTGTAATTCCTAGGAAGCTGTTTATTTTCTGGGTAGGAGGCATGTTTCGCACCCTGTAAAGCCCATGATTTATGTCCTCTTTGTAGATCTGTATTTATTAGGCTAACAAAAACGTAACCATCCTTTTGCCATGTCTATACAAATGTTTTGAGGAACAACTTAGTTAAAGCTTCGAACACCCTAAGAAAACTAATAAAGGAAAAAGTTTTAAAACGTTTATAGATTGCAGATCACATTTTACATGATGCTCCACGAGTAGCCTGGTCTTCCTTCCTTAACCAATGTAAGAAGGGACAAAATTCAACAAAGCAAAACATATAGCAGTCCAAGAAATTCTTAAAACTAGCCAACTTTAATACTGCTTCTGCAAGCACGCATTTAGTAACGAGCCTCACAACTAAAATGCCACGGCATGGGTGAGGAAGGGAAGTGCCCTGCATGTTCCTTGAGATGGCAAGTGGCTTTACTCGTCATATGAAGAGTAGACTATATTATAAGAGCTCAGTATTGCTTCCTGCATTATCGTACCTTTTCCTTTCTTTTCTTTTTTGTTTAGGTTTGAGCATAAACAAAATTCACCCCCCACCAATAACAACATCATCGTTATTATTAGATGATAGAAGCATTTCGTCTAATACTGTGCTTAATATATTACTCATCATTCAACACTTTAGAGAAGAAGAGATTTAAGTGCTCGTCAAACATTAATTAGCTGTTTATCTAAGCAAATATCCCTCTTCCAATAAACTCAATAATCCTAAACCTTAAATAGCGGGCAAATGCTGCAAGTCAACCTGACCTGTTCCAGTCTTCAAGGACCAAGGAGTTATTAGGGCTCAGTTGAAGCAGCAGCTCATTCATTATAGACTGACATGAATCAGTTTAAGCAACATTGCTCGCGATTAATTATAGTTGTAGTGGTAAATCTTTTATAGTTGGGGGATATTAAATGAGAATACCAATTTGGGGACGTTTAAATTTAAATGCAGCTGCTGACAATCAGTGCAGTTTTCAGCAACTGGAGATAATGGACCTCTTCGAGGATTGGGTCGCTCTATTTAGCCACCTGATAAAAAGAGGCTCGAGCTACAAAGACAGCCCAGATTAGATAAATCCAACATTACTTCTTTAAAACCCTTCCTCCCTCCTGTACTGAAAGAGATCATTCTGCGGTTGCTTGTTTCTTTCACTTATTCTGTTTATCTTATGGGCGGCATCCTATGAATAAATCAACCTCAGCAAAGACAAGGGCGAATTTAATTAATTCACATTTATTTTATTTTTTTTAATTATTACAGGTGCTAATGGGCCATCCAAAAATGTTATGCTCATTTGGAGTGAAAGTCTTCCCAGTTCCTACATCTAGCATCCTTGTAACTCGATTACTGACCACTATTGAACCATGATGCAAGTTCCACAATGCATAGCATACGGTTTCCTTTTCAAACAGAAGAAAGAAACAAGGAAAACGCAATCATAAATTACATTATGGGGAAATAACCACGATTAACAGAGCACAAATGGTACAAGTTCTCCCTCTTCTCTTGTGATAATGCCCGAGAGGTGTCTGCTTTCCCTCCATAGTCCACTCCCCTAAGAAAGGTTTGTTGCTCAAGTACCAAGCCTTACTAAACTCACTGAGATATATAATTCGTGATTCTAATCAATGCATCAAAAGGTGGAACTCATTGTCATCAGTTACGATAACATAATCATATCCAAGGCTGTTGGCACGACTACAGAATTCGTCCATCTCACTCTGTGGAACCTGGATGCCAACCAGGACATTGGCACCAGTTTCACCCTGTTGGAAGGGAAATTTAAGAATAAAATATTAGGATTGGTAAGAGGAAAGATCCCTTGACAATTTTACCTAGCAGCAAAAATATCAATTATAGAAGAGAAGCATTTGCATGCCAACCTGCCCTCTGTAATGGAACAAGCTAATGTTCCAGCGTGGACTGAAAGAATCCAAAAACTTCATCAACGCACCAGGCCTTTCTGGGAAAACAAAACGACAAAGAACCTCATCCGGAACATTTAATTTGCCACCAATCTGTAAAAAGATAGGTAAGAAATGAAGCATTGCAAAAGACCAACGAGGAAAAAGCTTATGTAACACGTGATAGATATTGAAAGAAATATGCGAGAATGTGACCCCTTTCCCAAGTTATACATTTTCAGAAGTAGAACGATCTGGAATGGAGACATGGAGTCTCGGACATTACTAGAAGAAAATACAAAAATCCAAACATGTAAATAAAATGAAAGGAGAAAAGAAAAGAAAATTAAATCCTTTAAAAAAAAATTGGAGAATGAGGGTTGGGGGTAGGAAAAAAAATTCAAAAAATCAAATGTCCTGAAAAGGAGATATAGAAAGATTGTTCATTCATTATTGTTTGCTAACAGTGTGTTACCTCTACTTGATTAAGCACAGAATGGGGTGACATTCATGAAATTTGAGTATCGAGTTCTCTTTTACACAAAGGGACATCTTTTATTCTTCAACAATTTACATACATCCTAAGAGTGACTTTGTTGCTATGAAACATTAAAAAAACAAACAAAATACCCTTCAAGGAATCAACTTGAGAAATCATTTATGAGAACGCAATATTACCAAATAACGCAATGGGGTGAGTGACATTCATTATTGTTTGCTAACAGTGTTATTTCTACTTGATTAAGCACAGAATAAGGTAACATTCATGAAATTTGAGTAAGGAGTTCTCTTTTACACAAAGGGACATCCTTTATTCTTCAACAATTTACATACATCCTAAGAGTGACTTTGTAGCTATGAAACATAAAAAAAAAAATACCCTTCAAGGAATCAACTTGAGAAATTATTTATGAGAACGCAATATTACCAAATAACGCAAGTGATCTTTGACCAAGTCACTTGCAGTCAAATTGTAAGTTCTTAGTTGAGAAGATTCCATCCGCTTCTTCATTGCTTCAAGTTCAAAAGCTGTGTGAAGGCCAACACTGCACATAATTCAAAGGATAATAAAGTGCTCGTTTCACTACATTTTATTTTTGAATTGCAAATGAGTAATCACATTCTAACTAATTCAAAGAAAAAAGAGTAAAGCTAAATTGCATGTAGATATTGCTGCTAACAAAGCACTGTTCACAAGGGACAAATCCATAGGATTATTCTAAACCATCAGTAGAAAAGTTATACAGGAAACTATTTCACACTGAAATCAGCAAGCTGATTTAAATATTATAATAGCAGTTAGAATCTCAGCAATACTAACCTGTACAGAACAACAGCATCCTTTTCAGAATTCGATCTATATTTGAACTCAGAGATATTCATAGGTCCTACCTGCCACCCAAATGATTTACATCAGAGCAAATTAAATTAATAAAATTGTTGTTCCTTTAGAAATATTTATTGCCATACCAGTTCACAAAAATGTTTAAAACTCCCTGGCACCTCCGGCATAACAGTTGCAAGCAAAGCTTCTTGTTGCCTACCAACATTGGCAAGTTCAGTCACAACCCTCAGTTTATCAAAGTTCATGTTTGCCCCACTTGTTATCGCCACAACATTTGCACCCTTGACACCATAATACTTGCAATATGCTTCAGCCCCAGCAAGGGCAAGCGCACCTGCTGGCTCTAGAATACTCCTTTTCTCCTCAAACATGTCCTGCAACAAAAACTCAATGTTAATTCTATCTGACTGCTATTACCCAGTTTGCAGGGTTAGCCATCATTTCTAGGGAAGTACAATTCACCAAATATTTTATTTTAGCACGTTACTGAATCAGTGGGAATCAAGGACTGTGGGATGAGAATCAGAGTCCCCTTCACCCTGTGTGTGCATGATCAATGCAGTTACCTTTTACATATCCATGCTGAAGTCAACATTCTGACCACACGAGGTATTGTTAATGATGAAGGTGATTATGAGGTGCTAAGTAATAATGTGCAATTACTCAGAACCCTCATTTATGATCTTAACAGGTGTGAGGGGAAGATACAACTAATCACCCATCTGACCAACTTATCACACTAGGAATGCATAACGAGCTAAGGAGAAGGATTCATGCAATTTAAAATAATATGAAATATACCCTACCTTTATTGACGCACAAATAGCATCACGGCTCACGAGAACTACACCATCTACCAATTCCTTGCATAAGCGGAAAGTTTCTTCTCCAACCTCTTTAACAGCCACACCATCTGCAAAACCTCCAACCTGATCCAGCATCACTCTCTGACCATGATGTAGAGACAATGCCATAGCATTTGCATCAGAGGGTTCCACACCAATGATCTTAACCTGCATTAAATATTGAATAAGTGTTCTTCAAGAGTTCTGTGACATTGCATAGAAAACAGCAAGCAAATGCAAACTGAAGAGATGACAAAGAAATCAATTAAATTTACACACAGCAATTTGGAGCCCTTGGAACCCATGGCAGTTTGTCCAGAAATCAAATGCAAAAATAGCACCAGTATCAATAAAATTGAACTAATTTTTCTGTACATATCTTTTAATATTAATAAAATAAACTAAAAAAACCGACTGACCTCAGGATTTACCCTCTTTACATATGCAGCAATACCAGCTATTAAGCCGCCGCCACCCACAGGCACAAAGATTGCGTGCAACGGACCTTGCATTTGACGTACAATTTCCATCCCAACAGTTCCCTGTCCCATGATAACATCTGGGTGATCAAAAGGAGGTATGAATGTCCGTTCCTCTTCTTTGGCTCTCTTTTTAGCATATGTCTGTGCTTCGTCATAAGAATCCCCAACTAGAACAACTGTCGCACCCAACCTCTCAACAGATTGCCACTGTAATAGAACAAATTCAAAAAAAAAAAATTAAAAAAAGCTACTTTCACAGCTCAATCATAAAAAATAATCTCTCGCATAATGTACCTTAATTTCAGGTGTAGTAACAGGCATTGCAATTACAGCATCGCAACCTAGTCTTTTGGCGGCTAATGCAACACCTTGGGCATGATTTCCAGCTGATGAGCAGATAACTCCTCTTTGCAGCTGTTCCTTCGGAATTTTTGCCATCATATTGTAAGCTCCACGCAGCTTAAATGAAAATACCTAAAAAAAGATCGATCAAACCCATCAAAATCAAATTGACGTAAAAAGAAGCTTTTTTTAGCATTC